TGCTGCTGTAAAGCGCACTGTACCGCATTGCAGCATTCCCTTCACCTTATTTACATTCACACAGGCTTAAGGTCCACTGATATTCACGAACTTCACTAACACTTTACTAATATTATTATGCCAGAGCCATAAGCAGAGTTATTTGCGTACAGTTATTTACTAGATAATCAAAATACATATTGTGTCGAGACAAATTCTATAACGTAATGTGCATCAAAATGTAGTTTATACGTTTTTGTTACAAAAATAATACATTTCATTTCAGGGATTTGATTTTTATTAGCAAGTGCGACGGGAGTAAAATGCATTGTATTTTGTGATCTTTTGTATACGTAAAATGCATAAAACGCACATTAATTGCACTATAATTGTCAATACAGTTTTTTAATCTCAGAAGACAAATAAGAGACAATGTCCCAATATTTTGGAAAATACTTGGAGACTTCAAAATGTCTAAAAGCAAACGAAAAAAATTAATAGATGAGGAGACACATTTATTAGTAGTTGTACTCGGGGAAAAAGGTATTTCAATTTCGAAAGAATTTCTGAATTCGTTCAGGTTGGCGAGGCGGTGGATTTTTTTTTTCACTCTTCTCATAGATTTCAAAGATTTTTTTTTTTTTTACGAGACACAAAAAAATGACTCAATATAAAAGAGCATCAAATCAACGTGAAATAATTATGGAAAACCCGATTTTTTTTTTCATGTGATTTCAGTCGTGGTCTTTTTTGCAGGTATTGTGGGAATACGCGAATGGTCTCTAAAAAAAGAAGCTGCACTCAAGGGAATCCTCTAATTGAACGATTACTATTCAATCGTAAATGCATTTTAGTCGCCGGATTACAATGACAACCTTCAAAGATAGGAAAACTCGCATGCTTCCATCCCCTCCTCCCAAGATTATGCAGAATTACATAATTTTCTTCACGTCTCCATGAGGCGTGACGCCAAAACCGACTGGGGAAACTCGTTACTGAATAGACTAAACTAGCTGCATATTTGTGATTTTTCTGTTCTGTTATAGCAATAGTTAGCGTGTTTATCTATCTAGCCACAACATACGCCAAATTCATTATTTTTAAGTGAATTATTCAATTTTATAATGTTAAAATATCTTACTTGTGCAGGTGTCCCAGTGTCTTCCCCGCTAATTGCTTCAGTCCCTCTTTGCTGGGCACAAAACCAGGCTCCCTCGGAGTCTCCATGTCCAAATGTGATAATCCCTCGTTTTTCCCCGGTAATGTTAAAGTACCATGTCACAGTGTGAGATGACAGAGCATAGGCGACCGGACCGATACCCAGCGGATCAATGATTCAGTAAGACAGATGAGGAAAATTCACGACGGTGTTCACAGAGCGAAGAGAAAAAAAAAATCCGCCTACACAAGAGAGATATCGGAGGTGGTCTGGCTCTGTCTACTCATAATTATAAACTCATAAACTGCTCCGCGCGCGATAAGAGCACGCGATGCCATCTCAGATTTGAGTCAACGCATTAATGTTCGCTTCAAATCGACGGAGTAAAAAAAAAAACGGATTTAAAAACGACGTATGGTTAATTAAGAGCAAAAGAGAAAAAGCACTGTCACTTTTTCGATGCAGAGTGCCAGTGAAGTAGCTTTAGGAGGAATGTGAATGGCGTTCAGCACCAAGGTCAGCGACAGTCTCGCCGCGACTCCTTCGCCAACTAGCGCTGGATCACTCCCGTCAGAGTGCCACTGCTTTGGGAGGGGTTAGAGAGGGCGGAAAATCTTCACATTCCATTCACATTTTCTCAGATTTTGTGCTCAAATGATCTGGATTATGTTCCACGTGCGACAAATGACAGTTTTTCGGTGCGTGTATGAAGGGCACGTGACCTGACATTCGAAGTTTCTACATTTTATGCCTATTGCTTGTTTTCCATCAAAGGCCGTGCAAGCCTCCTGGGGGCGGTGCTATGGAAACCGAACGAGGGGTGTTTCCCCCTCCAAGTGCCTGTGCTGGTGTGAAGGAAAGCGTGTTAATAATTCATACATACCTCGCAGTCCCCCTCCCTCTTTTCTGTCCTTCACAGCAAAAATAAATAAATAAAAACTGCTATTGTATGTACACGTACGTCGAATTCGAAGCCAATACAGTCCAGATGCAAGCTAATTTTTATTCAAGTCAGTTTTTAACGGTTGAGGATAATGTAGGGGGTATGCTGTCGGCGCATTTTGATAAGATAATTTGATATTATCGTATTTATTATTTTAACATCCTGCTAAATCACAAACCAATTTATAGGAGAGTAACTCTGCGCAGTTGCGACGCTCTGTGTTCTTAAAAGCTTCACACAACAGGTAGTTTGAGAGCGCGCTTAGTGAAGCGCAGGCGCCATCTTGCGTTCATTTACAGTATTTGCAGAGGACGCCCAACAAGTGCTAAACACGTGTAGTACACTTAAATCACTTTATTTTGGCACGTTCTCGCTTTTATAAGATTGATTCATGATTATTCATAAACTTACTTTTTTCACACGGTTTCATGCAACTTTTACAAACATCTGTAGACTAAAGACGACAAAAAAAAAGTATACACATACATCATGACAGCCATCAAGGCAAATGCACGTGTGACATGTTCTCATCTGAACACAAAGATATCCTAAACTAAGTGAAAAACTTTTTAAAATATTGTATCATGAATAGACTGTAACATTTAACTTAGGGTACATATATTAAGCATTGTTTTGGATAAAACTTTGTATACAAGTATAGCAACACAATATTCAGAACATTTCTGTAAACTGTATTTGTATTCTCCATAAAATATTGATGAATCACAGCAAAAATCCCTTGACAGGCTAAAAATACATATGTAGAGAATTTATAACATTTGTGAAATGAAATGAACAGGTATGGTTCACAAAATGTGTAGTTAAATTGATAAGACACTTTAAAAACCGACAAGACTCTTGGGACATAATATCAACACATTTGCTTGTTTTCAAACAGGTGTAGTCCCTATAGAAGATGATTGGCGCCGAGTTCATAGTGTTCATCAACAGTGCTACAGAAAGTATTAACCAAACATATGAAATGTTGATGGGGCAGCTCAAAATGTTTGAACCAAATCTCCTTGCACCAGGCTAGTAATACAGCAGAGGACACTTGATTCCTTCTATTCACTTGTTTCAAAACTGTGATGTTATTATTTGTCCTTTTGCATGTATACACCATTAGAGGCAATTTCTTGGTCTTGACATGTATGGGAATCTCTGAAAGTGTGTTTCACTGAATTAATTTGTCCCAGCAGTACTGTAATATCAAATGAAGTTATCAGGGTGAATATCGAAGTCCCCGATTCATGGGGAACTGATCACAAAAATCCAAACTAATCCTGTTTGCACAAGTGCATTTGTGCAGAAATTAGTCACAGAGAAACAGCATAATGAAAAAAACTAGTGTTCTGCTAGTCACGATTACTGATGAGTGCTAATGTTCATTTAGCCTCAGATGTGTAGTCCGTACAAACCTTGACAGACTCTTGCAGAACAAGGTGATGAATAAAGGCTTGAGTTTCTGATTTTTGAAGTATCAGAAAACATATAGCACGTCATTCTAGAGCTTAATCTGGTAAAATCAATCCTTCCAACCAGATAATAAATCAGTTATATAATAACTCTGAAGCAATAAATACATCTTTGAAGAAAACCAACAATAGTAACAACAACAAAAAAAAATCATTATATTTTAATATGACACAGAACAAAATGTGTGGGTGACAAGGTACAGCATTAATTAAAAATAACAATAAAATATAAATATTATGTGAAACAAGATAATGTAAGCACTACAGAAATGATGATATTGTTTGATAGTTATTCAGCTATCAGTGTGTTTCATAAGAGAAAATACCCACTGGACAACAACATATTAACTGTTAAACCGCACATGCCCACAAAAAATGTGTGAAAAAAAAAAAAGACAACACACTGTCTACATGTACTTCTTTCACAGTCAGACATACAGGGCAAAACATGCAGATTACTTCTTCAAAAAAATACAGCAACAAGCTGGACAGACATAAATGCTTATTGCCTTCTAAACATGTTCAGTCTTTTAATGGTCATAAATGATTATTCATAAGTTGAATTCACAACAGCTTGCTTCGAAGGCAACCTGAGGAACAGCAGGCCGCATTCCAGAAGGTTTGCCGCTGAAATCTCTGTGATCTGTCTCCAAGCCTTTCTTCTTTGTAAAAGTGCAGTTATGTAAGTGCACTCCAGACATTAGAGAAAAACACAGAGGAAAGCGGTAATGTTTTCCCACAAACCTCAAGCAGAAAAGAGACTGTTAGGCGTGTAGGTCTTTATAAAAGTTCTGGCAGTTGCTTGGATGTGGGCAGGCAGTTCTTTGCAATAAATGTATGAAGGTTTCCCGAAGATTCGATTTCTCCATGCTTTGTGGTGTATAGTACATGTGAGTAGTCCTGAGGGTTCAGGGATATTCAAATACATTCAGAAAGCACCTGGTGTTTACTTGGACTAGAGGGCAGCAGTGAGGCAGAACAAAATGTGTGGGTGACAAGGTACAGCATTAATTAAAAATAACAATAAAATATAAATATTATGTGAAACAAGATAATGTAAGCACTACAGAAATGATGATATTGTTTGATAGTTATTCAGCTATCAGTGTGTTTCATAAGAGAAAATACCCACTGGACAACAACATATTAACTGTTAAACCGCACATGCCCACAAAAAATGTGTGAAAAAAAAAAAAGACAACACACTGTCTACATGTACTTCTTTCACAGTCAGACATACAGGGCAAAACATGCAGATTACTTCTTCAAAAAAATACAGCAACAAGCTGGACAGACATAAATGCTTATTGCCTTCTAAACATGTTCAGTCTTTTAATGGTCATAAATGATTATTCATAAGTTGAATTCACAACAGCTTGCTTCGAAGGCAACCTGAGGAACAGCAGGCCGCATTCCAGAAGGTTTGCCGCTGAAATCTCTGTGATCTGTCTCCAAGCCTTTCTTCTTTGTAAAAGTGCAGTTATGTAAGTGCACTCCAGACATTAGAGAAAAACACAGAGGAAAGCGGTAATGTTTTCCCACAAACCTCAAGCAGAAAAGAGACTGTTAGGCGTGTAGGTCTTTATAAAAGTTCTGGCAGTTGCTTGGATGTGGGCAGGCAGTTCTTTGCAATAAATGTATGAAGGTTTCCCGAAGATTCGATTTCTCCATGCTTTGTGGTGTATAGTACATGTGAGTAGTCCTGAGGGTTCAGGGATATTCAAATACATTCAGAAAGCACCTGGTGTTTACTTGGACTAGAGGGCAGCAGTGAGGCTGTTTCTGTGGACAGGCAGAAACTCTGGCTCAGCTGCATCTTGAGTTTCTCCACTTCGTAATTGTGCAGGTATTCCTGAACCAGAAAGCGTTCACGCTTTATACGGGCCTTTACTTCTGTTGGCACATCTGGAATCAGCCACGCCACGAAGAATTTCACCACAAACACAACGTGCTGAGAAAGAAGAGGAAACAAAGGAACAGTCATCATGTGTGCATTGAACTAAGTTTCCACATATACATTTCTCAAACAGTAATTAAATGCATAGTAAATATTTACGTTCATACAGTATGTCATTTTCTTTTTAGACTTCAGATGCTACAAGAAATGTTCATGCCAAAGCTTTACCAAGATCAGATGTGCTGTGCTATTTCTTATGGACAGAAATCCTCATATACTGTACATTTCTAATCTCCATTTCCAATTATTGCACCGATTTTTATTCCTTTGAGTTTCAAGACTGAACCATCATGTTTTTTAAACTAACAAAAAGACACAAGGTTCAAAAGTCTAGAGCCAGTAAAATTGTAATGTTTTTGAAAGAAGTCTCTTATGCTCACCAAGCCTGCATTTATTGGGGGGGGGCGGACAACAACGGTAAAAACCGTAATAATGTGAAATATTGCTACAATTTAAAATAACTGTTTTCTCTTTGAATATTTTCAAATGTCTTTTATTCCTGTGATGTCAAAGCTGAATTTTCAGCAGCCTTTATTCTAATCCTGAATAAATCATTCTAATATGCTGATTTGGTACTCAAGAAATATCAAATGTTGAAAAGAGCTGCACTACTTAATATTTTTGTGGAAATTATGATCCCTTTTTCAAGATTCTTTGATGAATGGAGAGCTGCATTTATTTGAAAAAAATTTTTTTGGTTATTTCTAAAAATGTAGAAGACTTCACTGCCATTTTTGACCAATTTAGTTGAAGTTTATTTGATTTTCTGCTTAGCAATACTAAGATTGAATTATAGCAGAAAGTACATTGAAAGATACAATTGCAAGAAAAACATAAAATACAAAATTATTCAGCAAAATTAAAGCAGAACATATAAGAACAAACAATACTTTGTATAATATATTTGTATAATAGAGATGGCTGCATTTAAAGCAAACAGAAAAAGGCTTTTCTTTTTTTTTTTTACTATGACAGCCAGCTTCAGTAAGGTCATTGACTTTGTTTAAACCTGTTAAACTGCCATTTTTGACCAATTTAGTTGAAGTTTATTTGATTTTCTGCTTAGCAATACTAAGATTGAATTATAGCAGAAAGTACATTGAAAGATAAAATGACAAGAAAAAACATAAAATCCTCGCTGAAAGTATTAATTTCTTTCCAAAAAACAAACAAAACAAAAAAACACTGAAACTTTTGAATGGTAGTCTAAGCTAACAGTCTTTAGCTTCCTGATTATGTTACTCCAGTACAGTTTTAAATCCCAATACAAAAATATTTATTATAGTTATTTTGAATTTCCCTGCATATTCACTATATTATCTCTCTGTTTCCTAAATTGAAATTAGAAGCACATTATGTTATGCAAATGTCTTACTTCCATGATGATGATGAAGGCTAGTTTAGCAGCCAAGATGTGCCAGAACTGCATGTTGTGTGTGTACTGCTTCTCATGCCCAGGTGGGTATCTGTAGTCCCGATAACTGGAGAAAAAAAAATCTGTTAATTTACATATAGATGTGTAGGTCTAATACAGACTATAATTCTCTCCAGGCGCTCACACACCTGCATGTTGTGATGGTAGAGCTGTTAAACCATGAGGGGTTTTCTCCAGCTTCAGGTAGGTTAGATTCAGGGATCTGAGAGATGTTGTAAAAGGAGAGGCTGTTGGTGATGTAACCTCTCATAGTGGCTTCGCTGCCTGGGTGGTAGGCGTACAGATAGACCAGGCGAGGAATCATATCTGAGGTGAATGCCATGATGAAAGCCTCAAGTGCAAATGAGAAAGAATTAACAATCGGTTTTAAGTATGGTGGAAATAGTGTTTTGATTTTACCAAGCAACATCTTTCCTTTTGTTAATGTTGCTTATATTAGTTAACTATATTTAGAATGAAGTTAAATGCCACATCCAGTTTTACACAAGACAGTAAAATAACAGGAAAGCAGAACAAAACAGTTTGCATTTACATTTGTGACCACGGACAAGATGGCCACCACATTAAGGATCTCTTCCCACGCTCCAATGTTGCGAGCCTTCGCTGCCACTGGCCTTCTGAACTGTGTAGTAAACTTCCAAGCATCGACTCGCACCTCCAGGATGTTGTTGAAGAGGGCGAGTAGAGGGGCCAGTGGAAAAGAGGCTACGAATAGTGTTATGAAGCCAAACTGGATCACTGTAAAACACACAGGAAACAACTGGCTTAACTGATGAAGCACTAACAAATGCTCACAGAAACCCCTGTCAAATTCGAAGATCAAGTCACTTCTCTTCTTTGAGGCTTTTCTAATAGGAGCATATTGTTTTTTATTTTTGAATATATTCTTTTTAATGTAAATTTCTTTATTTTTATCATTTCTATAAAAAAAATAATGTATTCACAACCATTCAAAAGTCAATGAGATTTCTGTGATCTTTTCGAAATAAGTCTCATATGCTCACCAAGGCTGCGTTTATTTAATAAAAAAGAAAGTAAAAACAGCAATATTGTGAAATGTCAATAGAATTTAAAATAACTCTTTTCCATTTTTATATATTTTTTAAAATATTATTCATTTCAGTGCCTGAAAGCTGAATTTTTAGCAGCCTACCAGTCTTCAGTGTCATGTGATCGTCTATGCTAATTAGGTGCTGAAGAATCATAACTTATTTTGTATCAATGGTAAAAATGGTAGTTGTGCCGCTTAAAATTTTTATGGCAACCATGAATCTTTTTTTTCAGAATCCTACTGATGAATAAAGTTAAAAAAGAACACCTTTTTTTTTTTAATGGAAAGGTTTGTAACCGTAGAAGTCTTCACTGTCACTTTCCATCAATGTAATGCATCCTTAAAGAATAAAAGTACTAAATTTCTTTAAAAAAAAACAATAAAATACAATTTGATTTAGCCAGAGCCGATCCTCCCTATACGCAAGCTGCGTAGGGCCCCCTCTTGCTCTCAAAGATGATTTAATTTTAGTCTCGTTTTTGAATTTGGCCAGCGGTTATGAAAACATGAATGATCATTTCTTTTAATGCGGTGCGTTGTCGCCCTTTCTACGTAAAAATCAGTCAAATCGTGTAACGTGAATGTCGTACAGTCTTGCTCGAGACTAAAAAAAACGAGTTGAAAGCGTACCGAGCTGCGGAAGAGACACTGTTTCTCAAGAGCTCAAGATGGAGTGAAACACGGACAAATGCGTTTCATTCATTCATTCAATCAATGAATTGGTCTATCTGTACGCCTACCACCCATTCATAAACGCACACGGTTTTTGTATTTTTGCACTCATCCCCCCCCCCCAATAAATAACTCAAAACATGTATAATTGAGTAAAATTGTACCCATCTCCAGATACTCATAGAAGAGTCCAAACTGGCTGAAGTTCTGTAGATCGTGGTCCTGCTCCCATCTACTGTATGCACTTTCTGGATGACTTCGCCCCTTCCTGCTGCCCCACCAGTTTCTGAGAAGTCTGTGACACAGGCACAAGGGACCATTATGTGTGTTTTTTTTAGATATGAATAGTGCCTAGAGGACAATTATTAAAAAACATATGTGATATAATATGCTTAGAGGTCAAAGTTCAATGTAACGCTTACGGCAGCAGAGCCTCTTGGACGTTCCCAACCATTTGTTTTCCAGCCATGACGATAAGCAGCTGTGTGGTTAGCTCAATCAGACAGCCCCCAGGGGCACACTAAATATAAAATGCATATTGTCATGTTAGAGCTACTTATTCTGATATTCAGCTGAAAGAACATTAGGTTCTCATAAATACTGATATTTCAGACAGTCTCACTTCTTCATTTCTCAGCTTGCTCCACTTTCCAAACATATAAGTGTAGTTTCCCGGATAACCCACAAACTTCCCTTTAAAGAAGGCCACATAGAAACAGGAAGAGTAGTAGTTCACAAACTGGAACATAAACATCTTCATGGTCAGCTTGTTCTCATACTCCAGATGGGTCTTGGGGATCTCTGAGAGTTAAAAAAAGAGGTAAAGACAGTAAAGTATTTTCCATACAGCTCAACAAACAGATGAGCAAATACGTGAGGCATAATGTACAGTCAAACGGTCATTATCAGAAAATAAATGCACACGGTTTTGTATTTTTGCAATGACCATCCGACTGTACATTATCCAGCTTATTACATAGTTACTAATAAGTGGACACGTTACTTTTTTTAAAAAATAAATGATATTAATTACTCAAACTGTAAACTTTATAAACCATTTTCCAGAGACTGAAATGCATTTTACATGTCAAACAAACTCAATGAAACATATCTTAACTCTAATTTCTTGTGTGAAGTGAGGAAGCGGTTTTCACTCACCCATATCAGTGATCCAAATGGCCACATGCTCATAGAGGAAGTTGAGGATGAGGATAATGACAAAGTTGATGCAGGAAGCGGTGACAGAGGTGGCAAGTTGAGGGGTGATGAGAGATCCCACCAGCTGGATCTTACTGGTGGGACTGTCCTTCATGACGCTGGCGAACGCTGCATAAACCGCCAATCTATAAGCGATTACTCCCATTATACAGGCCACTATCAGACACGTCTGACAAAACACAAAGAGAGGGAAGGACTTAAACCGATTGATCTTCGTTTTAATGAGCTAGCAAAGTGTAAGAAATTGGTTGCCATTAAAATGACATACAATAAAATCTGACTGCAAAATGTAACTGACCAATCATAATAACTGATTACCTAATCTATATCATACAGTTGCACTGTTTAGCTTACTAACTCACCCAAAAGAGAACCGTTGCTCCAGACAGACAGAATCGGGCACACTTGCTGGGGAAAGGAAGATAAGGCTCCATTTCCTGTTAGCATAAAGAATGTGTCATCAGTTCAAGCACTATAATTAGACTAGAGTTCAACTGCAAACTTGGTTAATTATAATATGTAAATGATTTTTATAAATACAAACGACTAGGATAAACAACATATATAGGAGAAGATATATGTTTCTGTTTGGGGTCAGTAAGATTTTTTTTTACATTTTATTTTAAAGAAATTAGTTATAGTTTTATTATGCAAAGATGCAATATTTTTTTTTTAGTTGCACAAAAGACATTTAATGTTACAAAAGATTTCTATTTCAAATAAATGCTGTTCCTTTGAACTATTCATAAAAGAATCCTGAAAAATGTATTACAGTTTCCACAATATTCCACAAATATTAGGCAGCACAAGTTTCAACAATGATAACAATAGGAAATGTTTCTTCAGCAAATCAACAAATTAGAATGATTTCTAAAGCATCATGTGACACTAAAGGCTGGAGTAATGCCATCACAGGAATAAAATTTATTTTAAAATATATTAAAATAGATTTTTTTTTAAATCATAATAATATTTCACAATATTACTGTCTTCACTGTATTTTTAATCAAATAAATGCAGCCTTGGCAAAGTTAACATGAAATCTAAATTGACCCCATATATTATCTTCATACATATTCTAGCTCGGTCCACAGAATAAAATATTTTTGTCTTCGTAATCTTTCATCTAAACATAATAATTTACTTAAAACGTAAAACATGTTGCCTCTAAAGTCAGTAAAGCTAAAACAACTCAGCATTAACAAAACAAATTATATTTGGACTACTTGAAGTTATATGACATTATTTAAGTAGCATATCATGACTACGACTGCATGCAGTGTTTACTTGAGAAACAAAAAAACGTACATAAATTTGAATTAATATTGAGAACATTTGTGACATGGAACAATAGTTAAAATGGTTTAATTCATAGCAAAGACCTGGGAGCAAGACTTTCCTTTGCCATGATTATGATGATATGTTAAATGAAGTGGCAAAAACCGGTTCGGGCAGAAGAAGACAAATGCAAATACTTACTCGGATCATGCAAATTATTTGAAAGATATCAGGCCGATTCTAAGTCACAAATCACCACTGACAAAGGCTAGGCATGCATTTGAAATCTGAAAAAGCAATATGCCTGAATCATCCTGCCAGTGGGAGCTCTGTGAATTGCAGATCTTTAACTTTTTAACAATTGATTTGTGGGTTTTCATCCTGCACCCGCAATTATCTGCTCCTTATGGGCATGTCTTCTCTCATGTTCTCATTCAACCAGAGCATTTATGAGGAACTAAACCATTCATTTACATACTATTTAAATTGCAATACGGAATGAAAGGTTTTATTATTATGGTTATACTGATGATTTATTACTTCTATGACATGATTTTATGTTTACTTGGCTTCTGCCTGTCAACCAAACGGACCTCAATTCTACCACTAGTTTCTTCCACTGTCGATTTCTCAAATATCCCAGACAAACTAACTGGCAAATTCTTTGAACTTAACTTGACCCTTCATTAGGTTTCATGTCATTTATATTTTATTGCTCAAATAACTCAACCTATTCCCTTCTGAATTTAAGGCTAGCTTATGGTTTTGATTAGAGTGAGGTTTATGAATGTTTAAAATGTGTGTTGGCTCCACGACTAACAACTGATGTTGATGCAGGATCATGTGTTTTAATCACGCCGTGATGTTTGCAGGTACCTGCGTGATGCGGTTGAGTCTGCGGCCTGTGCATTTCAACTCATACTCTGGCCTGATCTGTAGCTGCTGCTGTTCCTCCTCAAAGTCCACAAGGTCCCACTCATACTCCAGACGGGCCTGCCGCCGCTTCCAGAACTCTAGGAACAGGGTCACTGCAAAGCACCCAGAGAAACAGAGCAGAAAAAATAAGAAATACATTATTTAGGAGTATCACGCTCACACTTAATAACAATTCTATTTAAACCCTATAGTGTCACACAGTGTTGTTTTCTTCTTTACAATGATTTTACCCAAACAAGGCCTTACAAAACTTTAGAAGCTAAATAAACAAGTTTTAATTTATGAGTACACAGTGCACTGGGCACAGAAATATTCACACGGTGCTGATTAATCAAATCACTGCATAAGCAGAGCTCATTTTGAGGCCTGTGTGAAATGAATTCAGTGTTCAGTAAATGATAATCAACATGCACCACTGCCCTCATGTGATTAAACATACATTTTCAAAAAGCATACACAAATTATGCTCCTTCATTATAGATTTATCTAGTAAACAAATTCTGTGACCAATTCTGTGACAATATGAATATTTTAAAATCCTTCATGCACAGTTACGAATCTCTCATTAGTCATTAGATCCTGAGTCTGACTAGCAATATCCTTCTAACCACTAGATGGAGCTATTGAGCTAGTATTTTAAACCATAAGAGTGCACTCACCCCAAATACCCATGAAAATGGCAAAGAACACAGTCCCCTCGTTATCAAATAGATGGGATTGCTAAAGGGGGGAAAAAATCATTCTATGATAAAGAAAAATCATTAGTTATGATTTAAACAGTGAATCTACAACGATTCTCACCCAGGAGGACAGACACGTTGAGTTGAGTTTCCAGTAGCTGCACTTTTTATCACAGAGTGGACACATGACAATCCCCCCACCGATTTGTGGGTCACAGATCTCCTTACTGAAAACAGGGAGGGGGAGAGCAATGGAGAGAAATGTTACTGTAATGCAGAAGTGAATATGACCAAAATCTCAGTTCCCCTGTGACTGCATTACACCAGTGTAGTAGAAAACAATATTAACACACCATGAAAAACTTGGGCACAAATGAACTACTCAGGTTTAACAAACACCATATTATGAGCATGTTCCACAAACGTCTTTACTTCTGAAAACTAGAAAAATGTGCCCTTTATGGTTTTGCTTGTTATACAAAAACAGAAAAAAAAAAGAAAAAAAAAGAGACACTGTCATGTATTATGGAAGCCCATTTCTGCCACGGAATTTGAAGGAAGAAGAAAAAAAAAAAAAAGATTTCACAATTTCACACTTTGTTTCTAGCAATTCTGAGAAAAAGTCATTTTATCTTGCAATTCAGAGTTTACATCACTATTCTCAATTTATGTCATAATTGTGAATTTTATTTTCTCCGAATTTTGAATTTACATCTCACAGTTGTCTTTTTCCTCAGAATTCAGAATCTCACAGACAGTTTATATAGTAATTCTGACTTCTTTTTTTTTCAGAATTCTGAATTGTGAAATAAAGTGTCACAAATACCTTTTTTTATAAATTTTTTTTATTTTGTGGCTTCTAAAACAGGCTTCTATAAACTTCATTAAGATTTTTTTAGCTACAGAAAACAAGAAACATTTGACTAAAACTATCACCTAACGCTTATCAGAGGTTACGACAAAAGAACACAAATAGTGCCATTGCATTCAATATAACAATATTCAGTGTTCAACTGCAAAAACCATTACAATAATAAAGAAACAACAACTTCCTGTCTAATGGCTTAGCTTTTACAGTTATCAGGCACTGTAATATTGGTTACAAACTGCAAAGGGTTCTTAAAAAATGCATGTAACCACATAGTTTCATTTGACCCATTTAACCTGCCAGTGTCACTAACCTTGTGATGTTGTCTTCGTAACTAAGCACACCATAAACAAAACAGATCACTCCCATGACTGCAGCAAAAAACAGCATTTCTGTGTAAAAGCCCAGCCAGGCAAAGTAGATACCAATCTTCTCACCATAGTACTTCCTATGACAAAATACAAACAGGAAATCTAACACTATGGTTTGATATGCTGCTCTAGAAAAGTGAAAATCATTTTCTTCTACTAAGACGTAATCTTGCAATCAGCAGTGCAATGAAGATGCTCCAGATTTGGTTATTGCATGCATTGTGTCTGCAGTGTCCTCACTTGATCAGATTGAGCGGTTGCTCTTTGTAGAAGCAGAGGAATCGAGCCCAGTATCTGTACAGATGATACCTCTCACTCTCACACTGCATGTCTTGTGCCTTCTTCCAATACTTGCACTGAGGAACAAACAGCAATCAGATGTTGACCAAAGACACAAACACTTTTAACATGCAAAGGGACAGTCTTTGAAGTTGGTAAGATTTTTTAAATGTTTTTAAAAGGAGTCTGTTGTGTTTGATCCAAAACTCAGTAAAATGGTATTGTGTAATATTATTACAATTTAAAATAACTATTTCCAATTTTAATATATTTTAAAATGTAATTTATTTCTGTGATGGCAAAGCTGAATTTTAGTTTTGAATTTCTTTGATGAATGGAAGTTTTTACATTTTGAAGTTTTTAAATTTGAATTTCTTTGATGAATGGAAAGTTCAAAAGAACAGCATTTAATTTAAAATATTTTTTGTTACAATGTAAAAGTCTTTACTGTCACTTCAGATAAATTTAAGGCATCCTTAAAGGAATAGTTCAACTAAAAATGAAAATTCTGTCATTCTTCGTCAGCAGCACCACACATATGCGAGACTGACACAGAACAGAAGTTAAGAAATTGTTGAATAAAGTTGTTATTTTTGTTTTCTTTGCGCATAAGAAGTATTTTCGTAGCTTCATAACATTATAGTTGAACCACTGATGTCACATGGACTATTTTAATGATGTCCTTACTACCTTTCTGGGCCTTGAATGTGTCAGTTGTGTTGCTGTCTATGCAGGGTCAGAAAGCTCTCGGATTTCATCA